TTGATCTGATTGGTTTATTTGGCCCGTCTATCACCAACATAGGCCAATCAGCTAACCAGTATTTTCGCCCCTTCCCAAAATTACTTAAACGGAAGGTTTCCAGATGGATATGCGGAGCAAATCCATCTGGCGGAGTCAGGTTAGACGTATACCTAACTGGCCTGCAGAAGATAACGAAAAACCCCCACAGATTTTAAGACAGGATATTTTTAAAAAGAGACATTTTCTAACTTTTGGGACAATCGTCTGATAAAGAGTAAATTTATATACATGCTTAAGCCAGAATGATTTGACATTTAAATATTACTTCCCTACGACTTTAAATCCATAGCCAAAACTCTTCCTTATTTTCACGGCCTCCGAAGTACCCAGTCCAGATAGACCGGCTCCTTGGAGGACGCAGCCACTGAAACCGAACACACCCTAAATTTGTGTCTTGTGTCCTAAAAAAAAAAAATAAAAACTCTCCCTGGAATTCTTCTTCTGCTGCCTATTATAATGTGTTAAAATATGTTTCTTCCTTAACCAGTGATTTTGCTCATTGGCAGGAAACACAACCCCCCCAGGCAGCTTTTTTTTTTATCAACTAAGACATAAAAATGTCTTTATTAACAGAACTTAAATGAATTACAAAATAAGCTGTAGTTAGAGAAAAAGAAAAAAGCAAAACCACAAAAAAAAAAGTCAGGTATTAGGTAGCAATAAAAGCACTAATGCTGAGAAGCTGCTGCTTTTACAGCAGTTCCCACAGACTTGTGAGGAGCTAAATGACAAACCAGCAGGAAACTGTGAACACATCAAGCCGGGCATACACTGTGCGATATTTTCAATCGTTGCATGCAGCTACAGCTCACACTGTACGACGAAACCGCAGGGTTTAAAAGTTCACAAGTCACGATGTTTGTTCTCACACTGTGCGACGCGACGCTCTGATGCGATCTACGTGCTAACGCTGTACCTTTAAAAACCAGGTCGGACTCAGCTCCGCAGTGAGACGGCGCTACTCTGACTCGTCTATCTGGACGAGTAGAAGAGGAATATGAAGCTCACTAGAGTGAAACGCGCTACCTTGGCTATTTGTGGAATTTTGTACTGAAAGCCCTAAAAAAAAAAAAAGACGACGAGGTGTTTGGACAAAGACATGGCCGAGCAAACGTCACTACTCTGTCAATTTTACAGAAAGAACTCCATTTCACTCATTGCACCCCCGCCATGCTTCTGTATTTTCGTCTGAGAGGAAACATAAGAATCGTTGTTTGCCCACTGAGCGATTTCCCCACACCTTGCGACGTTTGATTTTCTCCCGACCTTACGATTCCAGATGGGGACGTGGTCGTCAGAGGCTGATCGCCACTCGTTATCCCCTGTACACTAAACCACGCACCATCAGGCTGAAAGTCGTCCTGATCGAAAAATTCTTTCACGCCCGGAGAATCGGCCTGACAAGGGCAAAAAAAATCGTACAGTGTACGCCCGGCTTTAGAAACCAGAACAAAAACACCTCGACAGACAAATTATTCATCAACAGGAAGCATTTACCACCTAAAGTTGGGATTGGGTCGTAATTTAGAACAAAGCAAATTGTTTTCCCACATTTATACAGTTTTATGATTTTCCTAATTTCGCATCTCTCAAAAAATTCACAGTGTTCAGTTATTTCATCAGCACTTCATGGACCGTAAGCAGCCTTTAAAAGGTCCATTAAAAACCAGTCTGCAGCCTTGGATTAGCTATTGCAGCATATTGCTTCATGCAACTTAGCAAGAGAAACAAAAAAACAACTGGCTATACGTTTGGCACAGTTCAAATATACATATGGGTACACAATAGTATCATTATTACACAAGCAGTGCATGACAGAATATTTAGAGTTTCCTCGTCAAATTTAAGGTGTAAACGATACATTATCTTCTAATTACAAACAGCAGATCCCTCCATGGGGATATCATCAGGTGCACACATTGGCAAACTTTTCAGTCTTATTCAAGAATCTTGGCACAGCTTTAGGTTAATAAGGAAGCACTTGAATCTAGTGGTTGTTATCGATGTCCAAAATGAAAGGCGATCACGTTGATATAAGCTTTACGACGGCCGCTGTCGCTGATGTTTACTTTGTGGCACGAAGGATCCTTGAAATCCAGTTTCTCCAACTAACAGCTGCAGGCTAGAACTGGGAGGTCTCTGTGAAGGAGATGGCATCAGTCTTATCCACCGTGAAGCCTCCGTTGACGTAGGACTTTTTCTCGCACTCCTCGTCGTCCAGCGTAGTTTCCAGGGCGAACGGGTTTGCGACATCCACGTCCGAGTTCAGATCCATCCTCTCCAACTCCCTCTTGGATAGTTTCTGAACGATCCCAGCTCCGTAAGCGTCGCCCAGAACGTTGATCATGGTACGGAAGCGATCCCTGAAACACAGCGGCTTCTGTTAATCTCCAGGTTTGATTGTTTTTTTCCATTTTAGATGTTTGCTTAGTATGAATCCAAATCAATATTTGAAATTTAAAAACTATATGACTAATGCGATGAAGAACTGTCTTTACCAGGGGTCTACAGGAGCTGAATGCGGCTCTTTGAACCCTCTACAATGGCTGTTATATATAATTAGAACAAATACCAGTCTTAGACGCTTTTCTGGGTTTTATAAAAAATATTGGAAAGCATCAAAAATATGATTTTTAGAGCTATTTTTCCTGTAATTTGCTTGGAATCTTTATTATTATTATTATTATTTTACATCAAATAATACCCTATAGAAAAAAAATCCAGGCTTCAGTTATATGAATCGTTTTATGTTTTTCCTTATTTTGAAAGAATCCAAATAGGTTCTTGGTTATTTCAAATGGCAACATATTCATTCTGGCAGATATTTAATAAAAATAATATAGTTTTTTTTTTTTTTTTTATAAAAAAAATTATGTAATACTTTGTGGCTCTCAAACTGATTTAATTAGCTGGACTCAGGACAAAATGGCTCTTTGGATATGATATGCTGCAGACCCTGGTCTTTACGTTTCTTCTGCTGCTGAATTTCAACAAAATATTTCACAGAAAACAGATTTTAAATATCAGGTTAGCATAATTAGGTAATTGAAGCTCAGGTATTTTAAGTTGCAGTACTTTGTGTGCAGGCATGTTCCACGAGCAACTTAATATTGATGATCATTGTTTTCTTTACATCAAAACAATCTAGGAATTAGCTTTTTAAACTAAACAATTCACTTCTATGCTGATGACACTGTATTTTCCCGCTCAGCGCCTAGTTCTGGTTTAAGTTTTCTGTTGCCGTGCATATTAACAGCGTATGCAGTTTTGTCACGAGTTACCATATTTTACGGACTACAGCACGCACCTCATTATAATCCATGCACACTAAGTTTTTGAAAAACATACATATAAGCTGCACAGAACTAGCCTAGTAAACTAGCCCCACCCACCAGAGGGCAAAATCACTTTTGCCTGCGAGTTGGTCTAGCCTTGATCAATGCCCCAGGCCCTAAATCTGGCGGGCCAATCGCAACGCAGAGATGTGTTTTAAATGTCTGCATGCTAAGCGGGCGGGGTTTTGAGGGTGGGACGACAAAGCTGCACGATGCTGAGGAAAGCACAACAGTAGCGTGCACCGCGGCGGCAGCAGCTTTCAATGGAGCGCTCCATTGAAAGTTAAAAGTTCTCTTTCTGTTGTTCAATAAAGGTACGTTTCTAAGATAATTTGAGGCGAGAATGTTATACTTTAAAGCTGTATTGTTCATTTACCGATTTAATGCATATTTAAAAAAAATAATTTCCGAAGTTGAGAGGACCTCGGCAAACATCAGAGCTCCGAGGCCAACGGCTAACCGCAGCCCGTCCTTCACGCACGACTATGCCGAGAGAGGGCTGCTCTGATGGCGATTTTTGATTCAGCTTTGGAATCAGTTTTGGAAGGATTATACTTGGNGTTTATATTGAAACGTGAGCATTACTGCGTCACAGTCAGTTGCGCTCATTGGTCAGAGCGTTGGCCAATAGGCACAGACATTGTGTGAAACACAACGGGTTGTTCTCATCAACAATCTTCCGATGTCTCATTCATCTGGGCCAGACTAAATTACACCTTTCATCTCGCATTTAGTCTGGTTTATCAGGCTAGCACAGGACCATACGCCGCTGAACTGTCTCCACCAAACCTTTAGGGGGAGCTCTACATATAACTCCTGGCGTAGGGATGAAGTAGAATGCTAGCTCTTGTTAGCTTGTTAGCTTGCAGTAAGAGCTTCTACTGAAAGTTGGGGCTTCATCAGCTCTTTATTTCAGCTCTGCAGGAGTTGAGCTCAGTCTCTTCGTTGGTTCAGCAGCTTTAATGCAGCAAATTAATGAAGAAATGTGTGAATTAGGGACATTTGTTCTCCGTCCTGCCTGCTGCTAGCACATTCTTGTGCTAAATGAAAATTAGCCCCTTATTATTTTCATTTTTAACTTTGAATTTCCCCTCTGCCAGTTAGGAAAAATGCAAAGAAAAGCCACGGCTTCTTATGAAGCGCATGGCTTAAAGTGTGGGGAAAAAGTAGCTGCTTAAGAATAACATTTCGAGGTAATGCCCTGGGAGTTCTAGCGTTAACGATGTATGTTGAAAAAAAAAGAAAAACAAGAACTTACAGAAGCCAATCCACAGCCACTATCAGAGTGACATCAGTCGCGGGCAGTCCGACAGCCGTTAGGACTATCACCATGGTGACCAGCCCAGCATTGGGGACTCCTGCTGCTCCAATACTTGCAACCGTTGCTGTTATACTAAGAACAAAAAAATTAATAAAACAAGTTTTAACATCCTATCGATGATCTGTTTTCTAATCCATCACCCTAACTGAGATGTTTTCCTTCCGTCACGTTTTCACTCAAACGTGTGCATTTCACCTTCACCTCAATTGCTAGGAGAAAAAAAAAACAAAAAAAAAACTATAAAGCCACCTGATAGTAACAATCTGTCCCACATCCAGAGGGTAATCGTTGAGCTGAGCAATAAAGATGGCCGCCACCGCCTCATACAGTGCCGTGCCGTCCATGTTGATGGTGGCGCCCACTGGGAGCACGAAGCGAGTTATCCTCTTGTCGATGCGGTTGTTCTCCTCTGCGCAGCGGAAGGTGACGGGCAGCGTAGCGGAGCTGGAACACATGGGGACGGAGGTGGGGTTCAGCTTCACATCCTCCCCCAGCAGAAAGGATTTAACCACAGAATAGGAAACTGACCTGGAGGAGATCATAAGTGCCGTCACCATGGCCTGAGCCATCCCCAGGGTGAAGGTGAAGGGATTCTTCCTCACAATGATGAAGTAGAGGAGAGGCAGGCACACAATGGCGTGGATGGCCAAGCTGCAGAGCAAAGCAGATAAACGTCTGAATTTGTCCTCATCATCTAATAGAAGTCCAGCTTCCTGAAGTCTTCCAAATTTTTCCTTTAGACTTGACGACCTAAGAATGTGGCGGGCCTAATGGTTAGGGCTAGTGTTGCGCCGATGCCATTTTTTTGCCCCGATACCTGGCTGTTCAGTATCGGCCGATACCGATACCATAATAATGTAAAATAATTGCCATCATGGCTTTGTCGAGCTGCTGCCTACCTTTGTGAAGCAGGAAAAAATCTAATACGAAGTGAATCCAGTAGAACTTTTTATTGCCTACCAGGAGTGGGTGACAATAGTTGAATAAATTTATGGCTCTCAAAATGGTACCGATACCACCATTTTAGGGTGGTATCGGGGGCCCCGTCCGATACTGGAATGGGTATCGGTGCAACACTAGTTAGGGCATAGAGCTTTAAATCCTAAGGTTCTAAGTTCAAGCCCCACTCCCACAGACTGCCACTCTGGCTCTCTGAGCAAGACCCTTAACACCTGGTTGACAAGGTCAAGGTCGGGTTGGCAATGTTGACAAGGGTCAAATGACTTGGCAAGCAACCCACGTTAAAATCTCCTCAGCTCTGATTGGCATAATGTGGGAACACCAGAGCCGGGTCGACTCGCTAAATTATGTGACACCATTGAACGCAAAGTACAGACGTCAACACACCGCACTAGTTGCTGCTGATCTAACAAGCAGAAACAACTGTTTACATTTGATAAACATGGAGCCGCTCTGGTGAGAGGGATTCAGACAGATAATAGAGAGAAACAATAAAGTACACTGACTACACCCTGTTTTCCTTCCATGTTGCTCTCCATTGTTTACTTTCCTGATCAACGCTCACCTAGCATGATGGTGTCACCAGACACGCGCAGCTGCCAGCAAGGGGTTAGAAGGGGAAGGGAGCCAAATGCCGATTGTTAGCGGGTTGACCCATGTTTGAAAAACACGCGTTAACCCGCTATTTTCAGTAGGATAGAGGCTAATGGTGTAGCTACATCCTTTGAATGAGGGGTTACCAACGCGTTGCCTACAGGCACCAAGGGGCCTTCAAGGACCACATGGGGGGCCTAAGCATGTCCTGAAAACAGAATAACTCACCAGTGGGCTAAGTTGGAAATTTAAATGTATTCTGTTACTCCTCTTTTTTAGACATTCATAGAGATTTCAAAATGACAATTTAAGAAGAATATAAAACAGAGAGTCGACCCAAAATAGAAGAAAATTAGAAATGAAAAGAAACAATAAAAATATGTTTATTATGTATGAAGTTTAAGTGAAGCAGCTTGTTTTAGGTAAACATTGAACTTGAAGAGTCTAAACCATTCACTTCTATGCTGATGACACTGATTGATTTGAGGCTTCAGGCATGTCTTGCAAGGAGTAAAATAAGCAATTTGAACCCCCAGACATATCTAAAAGCTCCAGGAAATGGACTCACGTGGATGGAGTTTGACATTCTGATTCAGAAGTTTTGCTTCTTCTTTAAAACAATGATTTAAAGTCCACTGATTTTACAAGTTAGAATTAATGGAAAGTGCTTTTTAATAATGCTAAGATGCCCTAATAGTCTCTCCAGAAGGCGATGAAATCACATTGCACTTTGAATTTGTCCCAAATAGCATTTATAAACCTCGGACTCCCCTCTCTGACCCAACCAGACAGGATTTACAGGGCGGTGTTTAACGGTGTCACTTAGATTTAGAAGCTTTCATTACTGCATCTGCAGGTTGAGCGGTTTTGAATGTCCTTGGCCCTTATCACTGCCCACCAAGAGCTCAGCTTTTACTCCATGGCCGAAGGGAGAGGCAGCCCAAATGTCAGCCGTAAATCCCAACGTCTGGGACGGGCGGATACAGAGCAATGAGGCAGCTTACCCACTCAGCACAGTCACCATGAAAAGACCCATCTTCTTGAAGATCTCCCAGTCTTCCACCTCGATGATCTTTGCAGCAATGAGGAACAGGATACCAAATGGCATGTAGCTGAAAGGTACAGTTAACAACCATTTACATAAAATATTCATGGAATCTTCAAACTTTCAGGAGAGGAGGTCTATTTCAGGTTTGCTCAGAGAATATGCATCATCTGCACGTACCACATAATTATCTGCACCAGTTTCATGGTGGCTTCATTCAGGGCATCAAAGAACTCAAGAAGTATGCGGCCTTTGTCTCCCATCTTCCCGATAACCAGGCCGAAAGCCACACAGAACACAATGAGGCCCAGCACGTTGATTCCATCTGAATAGGAGCCGACAATTTCATACTCCTTAGTGATGTTCTGGAAGAATAAAAAAACAAAACACTCAGATGACTATGAGCAGGGTGGGATGCTGTTTTCTCTTAAAGGAATAGTACACCCAAAACATGATTAGCCTTCATTTTCTACTCACCCCCATGCTGAACAACACTCTGGAGTACTTTTTTGATATCT